CAGAGCATTTTCTGCCCGGTGTTTTGCTTATTTTAAGCAATCTGGCAACCATGTGCACGCGCTCGCTCCTCATTGCAGAAGCGCCGCCGCCGATGATCTGAAAAACACAGACAAACACGCTGGAGTTTAGCATCTAAATGAAAGCGTCACTCAGCCGGTCTGTGTTCTGTCATGAGACGAATGAACACTAATCAGCAGTAAATCAGGCCGCTTCATAGTAAACAGTCAGGTGAATGTCTGTCCATCGCTCTCCTCTCGTCTGGAATAAAAGCACTTCATTAGTGTTGTTTGATATGGAGAAATCACAGACTGGTTAGTTCATGTGTGTCAATCTGGTAATAGACACAGAAATAAGAACTGGCTAAAATATCCAGATGTAATGAGATGCATTGTGAGCTGCTCTAATGAAGGTTTGTGGATTAAAGGCTCTGGAGTCAGACCTAATGGTGCTTTCTCTTTGGATTATTTGCCCGTGAGAGCTTGAGGAAACTGATGGTACTTTAATGTTGTAATATCTGGATTAGTTTACCGGCTCGGTTGCATTAGTTTGCTGGCTAATTGCCGGCATGAAAAGTTTTCAAAATTCACCTTTAATTACACAGTGGTAGTATCTTAGTATGGCAGAATCCTAGGGCCTGTTAGTAATTAGATTGTACACTTTCTAATGTAAGTGTGAGTGGTGCTTACTTGCTGCAGTGATGCTGGGGCGTTGTTAAAGGGGTCATATGATGCTGCTAAAAAGAACATTATTTTGTGTATTTGGTGTAATGAAATGTGTTTATGCGGTTTAAAGTTCAAAAAACACATTATTTTCCACATACTGTACATTATTGTTTCTCCTCTATGCCCCGCCTTTCTGAAACGCGTCGATTTTTACAAAGCTCATCAGTCTGAAAAAGCGAGGTGTGCTGTGATTGGCCAGCTATCCAGTGCGTTGTGATTGGCCGAATACCTCAAGCGTGAGACGGAAATGTTACGCCCCTCACATACTGTTGATGCCGTGTCCAGCCGGAGCGACGAGACAAAAACATTAAAACCCATTACAAACGAGGCATTTGTTTCATCCAGTGGGGACATAATTACTGATTATAATGACTGTAATGAATTTTAACTCATTGTAATTGTATAAGGGAATTAATTATTATTATTTATTCAGGTTTTGAGACCCCTTTAAGTCATTGCTTTGTGTCAGCTTCTGTTCTCTAGATATGATGTGGTTTCCTCCTTCAGTGTCTCTTGAGTCTCCTGTTTTGTTAGTTAGTTTATTTATTTATTTTAATTTTTTAGTTTAAAAAAATATTTTTATTATTTAGTTTATATTTTTAGTTATAGTTCATTTATTTTTTTCTATTTCTAATTTGTTTTTTAATTTTTATAGTATTTTATTTTCCAAATTTGTATTTATCCAATTTTTATTTATTATTTTAACATTTTATTTATTTATCAGGCAGCACAGTCAAATATCACCATCTGTGAATCCTGAAAAAATAAAATGTATCACGGTTTCCACAAAAATATTGATGTTTTCAACATAATAATAATCAGAAATGTTTCTTGAGCAGCAAATCAGTATATTAGAATGATTTCTGAAGATCATGTGACACTTGAAGACTGGAGTAATGATGCTGGAAATACAGCTTTGATCACAGAAATAAATTACAGTTTAACAGATATTCACAAAGAAAACAGCTGTTTTACATTGTAATAATATTTCATAATTTTTACTGTATTTTTGATCAAATAAATGCTTCGTTCAGAAACATTAAAAATCATAATTATATATATATTGTATCTGTATGTATAAGTGTGTGTGTTTGTTGCGTTTTCAGAAGGCTTGGCTGAATCATTTGTTTAGCTCAATTCTTCCCACAAAAGTTGTTTGAGAGTTGATGTATTTTAGTCTGAGCTGTTTGAGTCTCTCCGGATCTCGCACTGAAGTGTGTTTGGTGAAACTCGGCCCGTGTAAGTGAACCGCAGGCGATGGTTAGAGACGTTCACGGGACGCTCCTCTTGAATGTTTAATGGCAGACCGCTGACATGATGGTGCTCTGGGCCTTTTGTGCTGCTCACAGTCCGGCGGCGATGGAGTGGCCGGTAGGTTCACACGCTTTAGATTAATGCTCGTGTGTGTGTGAGTGTGAGTGTGAGTGTGTGAGTGTGAGTGTGTGTGTGTGTGTGTGTGTGTGATAAGCCCCGTGAAGCCGTGGTTTACAGTGAATTTATAACAGCTCCGCTTCGCGTCGTACCTAACAACGCCCCTTAGCTGTTATAAATTATCTGTGAACCACAGCTTCTTGGGGCTTATTTTGTTTTTATTATAATGGTCATTAGACATGTCTTAGTGAACTATTGAACACATACTACTTCAGGGATTCCAAAACATTTTTGTTTGCTGATCCCCTTCGAGCTAAAATATTAAGTTGTTAATATATCAATAATTTATCAACACTTTCACGTTCACGCTTCTTTGATGTTGGTTAATAGTCGTATTACATGCAGGTATACAATTACAATATCTCAAATATCTTTTTAATTTTTACTTTGTTTTTATTTATTCAGAAATGTATTTATTTATTTATTCGGATTTTACATTAAGGTTTTATATGTTTTAGTAAGTGTTTTATTTAGATTTTTTAATCTTTATAATTATTTGTTTTATTTTTTGTGATTTTATTAATTTTTTTACCTTTTTATTTTGAATTCTTATTTTAAATTGGTTCATTTTAATTCTTTTTTTTTTTTTCAATTTTAATAAGTGTTTTTAGATTTTTACAAATTATTTGTTTTAATTTTACTTTTAAATTATTCATTTTTAGTACGTTTTTATTTTGATTTTTTTAAAATTTCTTTTTAATTTCACTTTTATTAATTTTAGTAAGTTTTTTATTTGTATTTTTAAAATTAGTTGTAATTAATGATTTTATTAGTTTTAGTAAGTTTTTTTAATTGATTTATTTCAATTTTACTTTGTTTTCATTTTTTTGTGTTTTTAGATTTTTTGTTTTTAAATACTTATTTTACTTTAAATTTTTTCATTCATTTTTTGTGAGTTTATTTTTTAATTGTTTTTCATTTTACTGTATGATTTTATTCATTTTTAGTTCATTTTGATTTTTTATTTTAAAATTATTTGTTTTAATTTTACTTTTTAATGATTTTATTCATTTTCAGTAATAGTTTTATTTTGCTTTTTTTTAAATATTTATTTTAATTTTACTTTTTAATGATTTTATTAATTTTTAGTACGTTTATTTAGTTTCTTTTTATTTTTAAATTATTTATCTTCATTTTTTTACATTATTATTTTATTAATGAGCTATTTTCGTAGACCCCACTTTGTTGAACCTTACATACAGCATTTTGTACAATTACTATATTTATTTCAATTTAATTTAAAAAGAGACTAGATGCTTTCTAAAGTATGTAACTCCGAAATCAAGACACGTTTGACCTGAGAGAGAAAAATGAAGGATGCTGATTCACAGCAATGAAATGAGCATAAGGCCAGATAGAAGGAGTGGAGAGAGAGAGCCTGACCTCTTTCCCATCACACCCTTCTCCTTATCCTCCCACAGACCTTCCTACTTAGAAAATCCACTCAAACCTGTTCTCCACAGGGCCCCTGCCCTCCCGACGCCTCGATCAGGATAATAAAGGCATGCTGAGGTGATATTTAGAGACTGCTGGTGTCTGGTGTTGGGTTTGCGGTTACAGCTGCAACGGAGCGAGCGCTTATCCGGGAAGAGTCCGCTAATCTTTCACACCGATCGCTGCGGAGGATCAGGCTACAAACCTGATTACTGAAGAAACGCTGCATTTTCACCAGCATCACTGCCGCTGTGCATTTGCTCTTCAGCCCTTCATGAAGACCTTTGAGTTGCATTTTACTGTACATATTACTCTGAGAATAAATATAATACTTACTAGAAACAAAACAAATCATATAAAATTAAAGCAAACAATTTTTAAATAAAAAAATCTAAATAAAACGCTTGCTAAAAACAACTAAAATCATAATGTGGAATTATAAAAAATTTGTGCTGTAAAACGATTAATCGCATACAAAATAAAAGTTTTTGTTTGCATGATATATGTGTGTGTTCTGTATATATTTATTATGTGTATATATAAATACGCACACACACAGCATATATTTAGAAAATTTGTACATGTCTGTATTTATATTCATATAATTTATATTATAAATAAATATATTTAATATATAAACATAACATATTTTTCTGAAATATATACATGCATGTGTAAATATACACAGCACACACACATATGTTATGTAAACAAAAACTTTTATTTTGGATGCGATTAATCGTTTGACAGCATTATAAAAAATAAACATAAAATATTTTGAAATAAAAAATCAAAATACAAAAATGTAAATGAATAGTCATTAAAGGTACTATTAAAATAAACGATTAAAAAAAAAAATTTAAATTAAATTAAACACTTCTTTAAAATGAATAAAATTGTATTAAAAAACTGCGAAACTCCTTACCTATTGAAATAAGGCAAGCGAAATCTCTTAACATTTTTAAAACTCATTTCTTTAGGGTAGCTTTTATTTGAATTTTTATGTTAATTATATATTATTTTATTTTTAAGTGTTTTGAATGCATGTTTCCTTTTTTTGCTTATTTTATAATCTTTATATGGTGTATTTTGATGTTTTATTTGTTTATGTAAAGCTCTTTGAGATGTAACATTTGAAGGCGCTATAGAAAATAAAGATTATTATTATTATTAATGTAAAATATTAATATGATTATATAATTTATTAATTGTATTATTTGTATTTAATTAAAATTTTAAATTATTTTTAAAATGTTAATTATTTTTTATTACTCTTATAAAGCGAAAACAAGCGTTCACTTTTGATCTAAGAACATGTCTCTCTTACTGTAGGTGATCTCACAGTCTGAAGCTTCTGTCATAGGATATTAACACATGCTGTCATGAATAATTAAGAGCAGCATCTTCTCATTGGATGAAGACACGCATTCTCATGAATAATTATGAGACACAGATGAGTCACCAGTGTAATACAGGTGTTAGAAAACATCACATCCTGATGAAGATGAAAACGGCACAAAAATTAACCAGTTTCCTCTTAAAATTAAAATTAGTGTCTTATATGATGTATGTATGTTAAAATGTAAAAGTAAAAATACAGTAAAAATTGTGAAATATTATTTCAATGTAAAACAGCTGTTTTCTAAGTGAATATCTGTTAAACTGTAATTTATTTCTTAATTTCTTGCACAGATTCATGCAGCGTTAGTGAATGAGACCCACTGGAGTTTTTTTGTAGTAAAGTTCACCTGCACTCAAAGCGCTCACAGTAAAAGCCTGCAGAGCTCATTTCCTGTTTAACAGGAAGCAGTTCATCAGCTCCAGTTAAACAGCATAGGCTCGTTAATACAGAGACTTCCTGCTGGAAGAATCCCGGATCTGACCCAGAATCCCCGGCTGACCTCACATCTGCTGCGGTGGCACATGGATCCTGTAATAAAAGCGTCTCTCTCTGCTCTGTTTCAGCCCACGAGCCCAAAGTTCGGGAAAGCAGATTCGTACGAGAAGCTGGAGAAGCTCGGCGAGGGATCCTACGCCACCGTCTACAAAGGGAAGAGCAAGTGAGTTCATACAGGCTTCCTGCGTGATCTTTACTTAATATCCTAATTATTTTTGGCATAAAAGAAAAATGTATAATTTTGACCCATACAATGTATTGTTGGCTATTGCTACAAATATACCCCAGCGACTTCACACTGCTTTTGTGCTCCAGGGTCACAATTTAGAAAAAAAGTAATTTCATATGGCCCTATTATTGTTCACATTTTAATAAATTATTTTAAATGTAATTATTATTTTTTAAATATTAAAAGTTTTATAAAAATAAAAAAATGATTAGACATGCTTTTTGATTATTACAGTTTAATTAAACCGTTTAACCAGAATCCAGAAATATCATCTAAACAGAAAACACAGAGTTTGGGAGAAAGTCAAACAGATTTCATATGGCTGTATATGAGAGGCGAAATTATCCATTGTGTCTCTTTATGACAGTTTTATGAGAGGCATTGATGATGTCATCAGAAAAACAAAGTCGTTTCAGAGGCGGAGCAAAACTACAGAGAAACGGTTTTGTGGCTTTAAATAAAACTCCTTTTATTTGTGCTTGATTTGTGCCCAGTTCACAATCAGTGAATGCCACACATTCATGCCTAATGATCGCTTACGATTGACAATGTTTACATTATGGTTTTATATTAGAATATGCATATTTCATGTCTCTCGCCTTTTTGAATGAGCAGCTAAAGTAGTAAAGCATAGACATTGCAAATTAAGATTCCCTGTGTATTTCAGGCTTGTTTATGATTAAAAATCCAGTATTATAATTTTTTTGTTATTATTAATTCTTTGGTTCCCATATTTCTCTCATCTTTTTGAACAACCTGCTGGAAGTAGTATAGTGTAAACATTTCAAAATAAGAGTCACAATGTATTTCGGACATGATTGAAAGTGATTAAAAGTCCTTCGTTATGCATAAAATCCGCCCCATCGCAGGAAAGAAAGACTAAGAACATTATTTAACATATTCACTATGTTGATTTTTTTAGTATCGGCACAATAATCTTTTATATGCCTTTCTTTAAACACATTATCATATCAGCAAAATGCAGTATCAATGGACCTCTACTTCATGTGTATTGAAATATGAAAAAAACATGCAGTAAACCAATTTCAATACATATGTAAATATTAAATAAAACTTGAAGTCTTGAGTATTTAAACTTGCAGTTACTCTTTTGCAGTTGAATGTGCTGCAGTCTGTTTAATTACGCAAAATAATCTGATACCTCATTTATTTTGAGATTGTGTGGGTTTGTTCTGTAACTGCATGCGGTGTTAATTTTATTTGTGCCTGCTGTGTTTCTTTGACTCGTTTAGTAACGGAACTGTAAGCAAAGACGGCGGCAGATAATTTATTATGATGTGAAATCTGAATGAAATTATTCTTCATATTGCTGTAATAAAACCAGAGCCTGAGAAAATCTGGAAAATAAAATTCCAGCCAGCGTGAAATGAATAGTGCGTTATTGTCAGTGTTTTTCATAGTAATGATGGTGTTTGTGTGTAAGTTCATTATGACCTGCGCGTTCAGATTCACTTCACTGCCTCCAAATTGCATTTCATCGACTTAAAGTGACAGTAAATCACTCTTGACCCGGTTTATTGTCTTCAGACTCGCTCTTGGTCTCAATGAGCACAAACCATCAGTGCTTTTTATACAAAAACACAAAACAGTTTCTCTGTAGTTTTGCTCCACCTCTGAAACGACTTTCCTTTTCTGATGACATCATCAATCCCTCCTTTCAAACAATATTTTTTGGATAATAGTCAATCGGATAAAATCATATTGCGTACAGTGCTATATGTTTTTCCTAAAATTCTGGGTTTTCTGTTTCTCTTTCTGGATTTGGTTTTATTGGTTTAATTAAATTAGACAAAAAAAGCATGTCAATCAATTGAATTCATAAAACCTTTCAAATCATAAAATGTAAAATGTAATAATTATTAAAATGTAAAATAATGAATAATAATTTATTGCAACACTTATATACATACAGTATATTTCATTGTATTGTTTTTATTTAATTTTTTCCAAAATTCTGTTATTTGTTTTAATTGTTCTAAATTCTGTTTTATCATTTAATACAAATTTATCTTCAAAAATCTAACTATTTAATCTTTTAAAATAAAACTAAAAGCAAATTAAATCATTCCTTTACAGCAAATTATTGCATTGTTAAATTAAATATAATTATTATAATTAAGAAATATAAATAAATAAATAAATTAGATAGATAGGTAGATAGATACATTTTATTTATTTATTTAAGAAAGTTTCCTTTTCCGCCAAATGCACACAAATGTCACGAGCCGCTACTGTGAGGAGCACGGAGCGAGGAACGAGGAGACGTGGAGTAGACTTCACAAAAACAGACTTTAATAAACAGCCAACGGAACTAGGAACACACACGTAGCGGGGAAAGATGAGCATTCAATACCGGACAAACTCAGAAAGCACAGACAGAACCTTAAATACATGGGGTAATTGACAACACACACCTGGAACTAATAAAACAATTAACATAGGAAAACTGGGTCATGGAGCACATGGAGAGGGAAAAGCACACAGAATGAGTCCAGGGGCGTGACAACAAATCTATTAAAAATGTATAAAATTGTTTGAATACACACACATTAAAAAAAAAAATTAATTCAGTGTAAAACAGTATATTATTATAATATAATATATATTACAATTAAATATATAAATAATATTATCTATATTTTGGATCACTGAATATACGGTTTCACGCAGCAATATTATTTATTTATTTATTTGTTTGTTTGTGTTAAAGCGACTTGCATTGGATTTCAAAGTATACATTTTTATTTTTGTATTGTACATTTTTATTACCCATGATCTCAAGAGTTTGATTTACAGGAACGTTTATACAGTGCACTCTATTTTTTATGGATCTGTCCTGTAATACAGATGAATATCAAACCTGTTGATGTTGTGTGTTTTTAGGGTAAATGGGAAGCTGGTTGCATTGAAAGTGATTCGTCTGCAGGAGGAAGAGGGAACGCCATTCACAGCGATTAGAGAAGGTGAGCGATCTCTCCATCACTTGCCAGTAGGGCTGGGCGATATGGCAAAAAATTAAAATCTCGATTTTTTTTCAGAGCGTTTGACCGATTCTCGATTTTTTTTTTTACATTTTTATTTTTGTATTGTACATTTTTATTACCCATGATCTCAGAGTTTGATTTACAGGAACGTTTATACAGTGCACTCTATTTTTTATGGATCTGTCCTGTAATACAGATGAATATCAAACCTGTTGATGTTGTGTGTTTTTAGGGTAAATGGGAAGCTGGTTGCATTGAAAGTGATTCGTCTGCAGGAGGAAGAGGGAACGCCATTCACAGCGATTAGAGAAGGTGAGCGATCTCTCCATCACTTGCCAGTAGGGCTGGGCGATATGGCAAAAAATGTGCGTTTGACCGATTCTCGATTTTTTACGATTTTTAACTAGTCAACTTGAAAATGTATTTACAACATGATTCAAGTTACTTTTTCTTTATTAACCATCGAGTTAAAGAAAATTCTATTTCAAGTGCACCACACATGAAGTTGTCAACATTATGTAAATGATAAACAAATTCCTTGTTAAATATCTTTGCAGAAAAAGATGCATTTAAATTCGAACTGACTGAAGGTATAACACCAGTAGACTATTATTAACTATAAATGTTCTGTAAAAACAATGAACAGCAGCTTTCAGCCGGTCACCATGATGCAAACATGAAATATCAGACATACAGTAGTAGTTACAGGTTTTTATTCAATTGCGCTGCTTTTCCACTGTTTTTTCTATATAAACATGGACGGGCTCATGCATGAGTTAAAAGAAGTTAATTCCCATCTTCTTTCATGTTTTTCCTATTCCACTGCCTGCGTCACATCTTTATTAATACAAAATTGCATTCTGTGTAAATGGCGTCTAGCGATATATTCTACTTACAATCCTGCGGTTGGATCGTTCTTTTCTCTTTACTGTTATCACTGGCATATTGCCAAAGTGTCTAATTCTTACATTTGGTAATATTTCTATTCAAAATCGTGATTTTTCAATTTCTAAAAAAAAAATTAAATCGTGGCAAAACATTAAATTCACTGTAAAAAAAATCTGTAAATTATACGTTCTTTTTCACTTCCAAAAATGGTATACTACCATAAAATGACATGTAATGTCCAATACGGTTTTGTAGTAGGGGAACTTACCGTTAACCATTTAACAGGTTTTTACTGTAGCATTTTTACAGTCTTTTACCGTTAAATTAACGGTCATTTTTTACAGTGTTTGAATTAATCGATAAAATCTGAAAAATCGCCCAGCCCTACTTGCTAGTGTAAATATGTGTGTTTTATGTGGCCTTCATATAACAAAGAGAAACTGAAGTTAAAGTCTGGCACCTGAAAGGCGTTTTTCTCTCTCTCTGTTCTGAGTGAAGCGTGTGAGAATCTCTCTGCATTTTAATTGCGCGGCGTGTTTTTGATCTGCGTGATCCGGGCCGATCATCCGGGGCTGCGCGGATCAGAAAAACGCTTTGAACATTGAACTAATTCAGCAATTACTGGAGATGTTGAGGCCGGCAGAACTTGAGCAGAATGAGAGAGAAACGAGGAATCGCTCTGTTCACACACTTAGTGAGCTTACTGCACAGGCAGGATTTTAAGGCCTGATTTTGACTAAATCGAAGGCAACATTGCATGCGTGTCTTGTGGAGAATGATTTTCAGTGTGAGAACAGATCGTGAGCAACATCCTGCTCTTATTAAACAAACAAGCGCTGCTCAAAATCAACCTGATCGTGTTCAACTTACAGGCAGAAAAGTGTACAGCAGACTTCATAAATCTGCTCTGTGTGAATAATCGGTCTAAAGAAATAAAAATAAAATAAGTTTCTGAGCTAGACAAGAAAATGAGAAAAGAGCTGAAGTTAGTCATTGCTCAGTGAGGGATTGACAGTCAGCATGAAGTTAATTTTTTATGTTTTTCACATCTTTATTTTTAATCATTTTATGTGATTTGTGTCTTTTGATCAAATCTATTAATGATACTCACAGATGTTGGCTATTATTATTATTATTATTATGTCATCATGTAGTTCTGTCTCTGTTTGACTTTCTATCTTGCTTTTTTCTGAAACATAAAATGAGAATATCCAAGCTTCGGTTTTTCAAATGCTGCAAGTGTACAGTGATTTATACTGTCAAGTATTTTATTTATTTATTTATTTTATTTTAAGCACTTTGTTATTTTATTTTATTTGATTGTATTGTTATATTTTAATTCATACATAAAAATTAACAAATAAATGTCATTATTATTTTATTATTTTATTTTATTCCATTTTCTTGTTTTGAATATTTTATTTCATAATATAATTAAATAAATAAGAATTACTCAAAAAATTCATTAACAAATAAATTATTAATAAATAAATAAAAATATAAAAATTATTTTACTTAATACTTTATTGCATTTTATTTTATTTCAGTTTATTGTACATTTTTGAATATTTACTTTTTATTTCACTTGCATTTTCTTATTTATTATTATTATTTATAATGTTATTTTTTATTATTGTTTATAATTATAATAATAATTCTAAAAATAAAATTATTATTACTTTTTAATTTTTGGTCAGTGAGGGATTGACAGCTGATCAAATCCATGATACTGATACTTGCATAGGTTTTTTTTATTTATTTATTTTTTATTATTAATTTATTATTATTAAAGAAGAATTATTAACAAGTAAATCCAGATACACAAAATATAAGAGCAATCTTAAACTGTAGAACAGTGTTTAAGAGAAGAAAAATAAATAAAATAAATAAATAACCACATCGTAAAAACAAAATAAAACACAAAATAAAAAAAAATAAAAAAGCATATAAACAACTAAACAATAGTTCAAATTTTCTTCCTTTTTCATTAGGACATATTCACAGATTGCAGCGGGGGAGCTATATCAGAAAAAAAATTCTCCATACACGTAATTAACATTTCTTCGCAGAAATAGAAAGGCACTAACATCAGACCAAAATCTAAGAGACAAATCACACAAAAAAAAAGTCTTCCTCATGTGTGTTACAAAAACTGCAAGTATTGTCAATGTCCGTGCATTTAGAAAGAGCTACTTTACATGGGTACATTTTGGGAAGTATTTTGAAATGCACCTCTTTAACTTTATTCAAAATACAGAATTTGTAAGGATTTGACCAGGTCGATACTTGCATAGGTGTTGCTGATTTCCCACTAAAACGATGTCACTTCCTCTAGGATGATGTCATTCAGGAACTGGCTTTTGTGAGTTAAAGTGATTTCAGGATGGAAAGTCAAATTGACGTCACAGTCACTATAGTCAATGTAGCAGGGGCGTAGATTACGCGGGGGATGCGCCTTTTAATATCACGTTAATTCGTCCCCCGCACTTTTTCGGGCAAGTGTGGGAAATGTTATAGTGTAATGTTATATATATATATATATATATATATGAGTCGCATTTTCCACAGATGCAAATCTGTTCGCTGTTCATCATGAAACACACTTGAAGTGTTTCGCTCCGTCTTTGTAGCAAATGAAAACGTTCTGAGTGCTTTCTTCTTGATTGAGACGAGATTTCTGAGTTCTGCAGCCATTGCGTTTTGTAATGTGAAGAAAAACACGTCTGATCTGAGAAATATGGCAAACACACTCATAAAACATCAATGTAAACGAAGGCTTTGCTGCTGATGATTAGCTTTAATTGCAGTGCTCGTGTGTAACTCGTTAGCTGGAATAATAGACAGGAAGCTCAGAGAGCCGCTTCCTGTCCCTGCGGCGATGCTTTCTCCGTTATATTATATATTTATTATATATATTATATATTATATTCTCTAATATGTGGAGTAATAGTCATTCTGTCCTCAGCAGCATGTTTACTTTTCATTTCCTTTTTATTTTTTTATAAACCTTTGAAGATTCTAAGCCTTGAAAGCTATTTGTTCTTTTATTTATTGCTCTTTTATTTGAAGCTTGACACTTCACACATTTTGTGTTATGAGACTTCAAGGTGCTTCACAGCCAGTTTCTGTTTCCCTTTTTCTGTGTGGAAAATTGATTTTAAATTATTTTAAATTATTATGAAGCACTTTGGATAATACAAAATATTATATCTTGCTTTCATCTGAAACATAAAAGTAGAATGTCCAAGCTTAATGAAGAATGTCTAGGATTCTGTTTTCTATATAGTGCAAATGCACAGTGTTTTATACTATCCAGTATTTTATTTAATTTTAATTTAATTTAATTTAATTTAATTTTATTTTATTTTATTGGGCACATTTAATTTATGTTATTTTTCTAAAGTATTTATTAAATAAAAAAATATTTAATACTTTATTGCATTTTATTTTAGTTTATTGTAATTTTATTTGAATATTTATTGTTTAATTAAAATATTTTATTTAATACTTTACTGCATTTTATTTTACTTTAAGTTTATAACATTTTTGTTGTAGTAAATTTTTTAAATACATTTTTAAAAATGTATTTATTATAATAAGAATTCTAACAATAAAATAAACTTCTAGCTTTTTATATATTGAATCCAGGAACAGCTGTCTGACAGATAAATGAACATCTCTGCTGTTTCAGATGTTAAAATGCACAACTCCAGTTCTTAATACGAGTCACTGGTGTGTTAATGAAGCGTTTGTGTTTGTGTTTGTGTGCAGCGTCTCTGCTGAAAGGCCTGAAACACGCCAACATCGTGCTGCTCCACGACATCATTCACACCAAGGAAACCCTGACGCTGGTCTTCGAGTATGTGGTGAGTATCACAACGTCTCCTTTAGAAATAGTGTTTAATCCCTGTTATTTTCTGTAACTCCACTCCTGTTGTGTTTGAGATGCTTTTATATGAGCTTTACTCAGCATTCCTCCAGCCTGAGGTTTTCCTCATGCTTTGAAGCTTCAGTCCTGCTTCTCGAACCGATCGTTCTCCACACAGAGCTCCGCAGGCGACAGAGCTGCCAGTTAAAGCACAGGATCATTCAGACAACAATACGAGTTCTGTCATCGTTTACTCAGCCTCATGCCGTTCTGGCCCTGCCTGGTTTTCCTAATGGCTTTCTTCTGTCAAGCACAAATACACATATTTTACTTTTAGGTTCTTATTTATTATTATTTAGAATTGTTTGTTTATTTTTTTATTATCTATCATTTATTTATTATAATTATAAATATAATAATAACCCTAACAATATAATAATAGTAATGCAAGTGAACAGTGATTTATACTGTCCAATATTTAATTTAATTTAATTTAATTTAATTTAATTGAATCACCAACTTTTATTTGACCTTGATTGAGCTTCATAGTCTAAATCCACAGGACAGCCTCAGTTAGCTAACACGACTAAAACACAGACATGTTTGATTCGGATGGGTTTGAAATCACAAAGTTCATCTTTAAAACACGATTTTACTTCTTCAGTGGAAGCTGGAGCTCCTCCAGAGAGGCATTCGCACATGAATGAGTCCTTTAGCTCATTAACACTGATCCGTACAGTAAGAAAAACCAGACACTGAGTTAAAGGTCAGGAGAACATGCCCTTTATTACTAACTCATTACATTTATGTTCCCAGCACACATGAAAATAACTGTTCAATGAAACGATATGTGCACTTGACTTTTAAGTAAAGTGCACATGTAATTTGAGAGGACCGTTATTTGGGCGGGATGTCACGAGTTAATGTGATCTCAAAAAGGAGAAAAGGAACGTCTTGATGATTGATTTGATCCTTCATTGAAAGAATAAGCATTTTTTCCTCACATTTTGCTTTCTCTAAATGTTATGAGATGCATTTGAGGTTTGCTTCATAGCGAGGTCCGTGCACTGGGGAACATTGACACAGATCAGTGATCTTGGGCATATTTTATTATAAAATAATTATTTTGCTGTGGTTTGCTGGCTTTAGGGTCTTGGGCACAGTTATTATATTTTATATTATTTTATTTTTAATGTTTTATTTTTCATTTTATTACTTTGCTGTGGTTTGCTGGTTTTAAGGTCTTGAGCAATTTTTATTTTATTAAATTATTTATTATATGTTCTTATTAAAATGTCTTTTATTTATTTATTTCATTTTTGAATGTGATTAAATGTTATTTTATTATTTTGCTGTGGTTTTCTGGTTTTAAGGTCTTGGGCACATTTATTTTAATTTATATTATATTATTTTTTTATTTATTACTTTTATTTTATTATTATAAATGTTGTTGTTTGTTCTGGTTTTGCAGTCTTGGGCACATTTTGATGTTTTATTTATATATATATATTTGTTTGTTTGTTTGTTTGTTGATTTTAGGGTCCTGGGCACATTTTTTTATGTAATGTAAATTAATTTTATTTATTGTTTTGCTGTGGTTTGCTATTTTTACAGTCTTGGGCACATTTGGTGTTTTATTTTTATTTTTTTTATTTTGCTTTTATTTGCTGGTTTTAGGGTCTTGGGCACATTTTTTAAAATTTAAAGGTCCCATATTGTCAAAACTGAAATTTTCTGGCTTTTTTCACAATAACTGAGGTCTAGGGGCTATTTAACTACCATATAAGTTTCAAAACAGTCAGTCCACAGTAAAATGCACACAGCCTGCATA